TCTTAACGCTAAGCCTTGAATTCAGTTTCTGCTGCTGCACAACTGGTGTCCCTAGTTGTTTCTCCATATCAGATACAGTCAAACTCTTCTAAAGAACTAGTGGAAAGAGCTTTAATTGTGATAAAATTTAATATATTCTAGGAATGTTTTCTTAAACTCGTTAAGAACATAGGAAAACTTGTTGTTTGTACTTACCTGAAAATTTCCTTTCAAGGTCTCTCCTCCTTACAGCTGGTCAGCAGCAGGAAGGCAATGCCCTAACACATGCAGATCTTCCAGCAGTGCCTGATTTACAGTTCCAGATAACTGTATTATTTAGTAAATGTAAAGGTTATGGTAAGCCTATTTGGAAGAGTAAATGTCCTCTCTCATCTCCAGTCTCACCTCCCACAATTTTGACTTTTACATTGAAACAAGGTGCCTGTGTCTTTGGATGCTGATTTGCTCTGTTCTGGACAAGATCTCCCCCAGACTGAACTACTTTTATGAACTATTACTTGAACAAAGGAGATGTTCAGGAAAATGGGTGCTCAAAGGTACACAATCCAGCATGATGAAATTTTAATGGCAGTTTACTCAGCGGTGGGATGCAGAATCAGAGGGGTGGATTTTTTTCTTTTTTTTTTTTTTTTTTTTTTTTTTTTTTGTTTTTATTTTTTAATATAGTTACCCTAAATATCTTATGCCCTTTGTTTCCCCTTCCAGATTAGGGCATGAAGACACGTTTTGTGGGTTTTTTTCAAAGAGAGATTGTTTTTCTCCAAGGCTCTTCTGTGGGGAGGGGGTCCCTTTGTGGATAGTTAATGGCTGGGGAGCTCAGCTGGAGGTTTTGCTTTCAGACTGACTAAAGCTGTTTGCTCCCGCGTTGAAGGAGACAGGTGCAAATTGATGGTTTAAATCCAAAGGGGCTGGCTGGGAGTCTGGCAGGTAACTCTGAGATAAATGAGCTACTGGGCTCACCCCAGTACCTTGCACCTGTGACCCATCATCTGCAGTGGGGCTTTTCTCTGGTCAGGCAGCTCCAGTTCACCCTGCAACCTGCCTCCATTTCCTAGCATCTCCAGGGATGGTGGCCGTTTTATTCCTCTTTTTGAAGGTTCAGAAGCGGCTTGGCGTGCCAGGAGGCTTCTTACTGCACCAGTGGTGGGGCCCCCAAGGCTTTTAGGTTGAGAGAGGCCATACCATCCACCCACGAGACAACCTCTCAGGGAAGCACAGATTTGACCCTTGCGGTCACTGTCTCCCTCGCAGCAGGTGACAGGCTGATGGTGGTCACAGCAGGCAACCTGGATACACCCTGAGGATCCCTCTCACCAAAGAGGGACCGAAGGTGATGACTGCGGGCAGTCCTTTGGCTGCAGGTGAAAGTGGGTTGTGAGGGGCTGCTTCAAAGAAACAGGCGAGTTTATTTTCAGTGCTGACCCTGAAGGTTGCACGCATGGGGCGGGCAGCAGGGAAAGGCTAAAAGAAATGGTAGGGCTGATAGGAGCCATTTGCCACGCCCTTATTTACTGGTCCAAAAGCAGATTATCGTCCCCTACTAACTGGCAGTCCCTGCGCAGAGGTAACAGTGGGGCACAGCCATCTGCAGCAGAAGGTGGGAAGGCTAATCTGCCCTGGAGGGCAGGACCCCCTGCAGCGGCAGCTGGGGACGACAGCCTGTTGCAGCCTTAGTCATACGTCTGTGCCAGGAAATCCCTGCTCTTGTATTACACCTTCCCAGCTTGCACAGTAAAGATTTTCAAGTTGGCTACGGGGTGCCAAGCAGGGTCTTGTTACAGTCGGGAAGCAGGGTTATTGGGATTGCTCTGATGGTATAGGGCTTGCCCCTCACCCCGAAGGGAAGGAAAGCTCCTTCTTCCCTGCCCTAGTCCTCTGAGGAGCATTTCTGGGATTTTCCCCTCTCCTCTCCTATGCTTCCCTCCATGAAGGTGAGTGGAGGAAACGGCACTGATGTTTATTTCCTCTCGGTGATTATTTCCTAGTGATCTTTCTTCATGGTGGCAGGGAAGGAAACAAATTTGAGGCACAAAGCTTTCAAGAAGCTGGGAAATCACCAGGCTTTGGCTTTCTTTGTGGTCCCTCTGCTTGCAGTGCTTCAGGACCTCAGCAAGTTTGTGGATGACACCGAGCCGAGTGGTGCAGTTGGTATGCTTAAGGGAAGGGATGCCAGCCAGAGGGACCTGTCAGGGTCTCAAGGCTTCAGGATCGGGCCAATGTGAACCTCCCAAAGTTTCAACAAGGCCCAGCGCAAGGTCCCGCGCCTGGGTTGGGGCAATCACCAGTATCAGCCTAGACTAGGTGATGAAGGGATTGAGAGCAGCCCTGTGGAGAAGAACTTGGGGATACTGGTGGATGAAAAACTGGATGTGAGCTGGTAATGTGCGCTCACAGCCTAGAAGACCAACCGTATCCTGGGCTGCCTCAAAAGAAGCGCGGCGAGCAGGTCGAGGGAGGTGATTCTGCCCCTCTACTCTGCTCTGGTGAGACCCCACCTGGAGTGCTGCGTTCAGCTCTGGGCCCCCCAGCATAAGAAGGACATGGACCTGTGGGAGCCACAAAAATGATCAGAGGGCTGAACACCTCTCCTATGAGGAAAGGCTGAGAGAGTTGGGGTTATTCAGCCTGGAGAAGGCTCTGGGGAGACCTCATTGCAGCCTTTCAGTATATAAGGAGGGCTGATAAGAAATACGGAGAGAGACTCTACCAGAGCCTGTAGTGACAGGACAAGGGGTAAGGGTTTTAAACTAAAAGAGGGTAGATTTAGATTAGATACAAGGAATAAACTTGAGGCTGCGGAGGTTAGAAATACAAGGGGATGGTGAGCACAGGGAGGCAGCTGGGTGAGGAGCTGCGAGAACGTGACTGGGACTGACTGGATGCTCGGGGCAGCGAGCGGGTGCCAGGAGTCTCCAACTCCACCTATAACTAGCATTGACTCTCCTAGTAAAATGCGTAAAATTGCTCCTGTTAACAGGAAAGGGACCCAAAATGGTTAGACTGTGAGTGTCTGAGGGAGGAACACTACACCAATAGTCCACAGGGAAACTCTGCACCTTTTTTCTAAAGACTGAATTGCCTTGCAACAAATGAGGGCTTTACCACACACACAGGGAAAAAAGAGACAGAATCAGTGCTCACAGAGAACTGTTGCTATTGCACGGTGATGGCAGGCAAGCATTCAAAAATGAATGGGGCACAGTAAGAAGCCCTGAGATTAAAATTCATATTGCACACATATGAGTTAAGATTTATACATTCTTTTCTGCAGCCTTCTCTAATCTTTCGCATGCGTCACTTCAAGGTGCTGCTTTTTGGTTTTTGTGTAAGTTAATAACAGTGTGTCATCATGTAACTAAGCCTGCGTTCAAAATGTGCAAGATGTAGAGGTAGCACAGGAACAAGCGTGCAGGCAGAAACGGCTAACAAGTGGTTAGCTGCGGCTTTAGCTGCGTGCCAGACATCCATGTAACAGACCTTCCCGCCGATTACAGCATACCAGTGAAGGTCTGGGTTTGGGCAAAGACCTAGAAATCAAAGTCTTAATTTCATGACTCTATCACTACTGTGAGTCATGGCAAGTTTGGAAAAACTCTTCACTCCTGTCTATTCATAAGCATAATAATGCTATGAAGCTTGTTGATGTTCAAAGTGTTAGAGATGTTTAAGGTATTATATAAATGATAAATACTTACTGTAAAGGCTCATGTAATCACCTCTAATCAGAACCACAACATTTTCTTGTTTGGCTTTTATCACCTCAAACATAATCCTTTCAGATCTATGTGTGTGTGTGTGTATAAATATTTATATATGAAGTATACAATAAATAAGCTCTACTATGGTTCAAAAGAGCCTCATGTGGGCAATGACTCTGAGCCAGACAAGAGCACAGCCAGAATCAAAATTGTGTCTTCCCTCCTCTCAAGCTGACAAATCTTACGTACTTCAAGAGCAGCCTTTTTTTCTTGCTCCCTCATCTATGAAGACCAGTGATCTATTTCACCTGCCTCAAACAAAGGACTCTTGAAAGATGTTCTCTAAAATTTATTTTCTCAACCCTGGGGGTATACAATTACTGCTGTTCACTCATGCTTTCTATGTTTAGATACTGGAAGGACGCATGTACTTTCTCATTGTTACAGCATTCCCATGGAAAACTCCAGGGCAGCCAGCGTGTTCCTGACTCAGGCTCTGCCCACCACTGGCTGTGGAGTCAGCAAGCCAAACCTTGTTTAGGTGGTTCCAGAAGCAAGCAGTATCTTTATTAAGCTGATAGCTGACCAATGTGCTGCCTCTCAGGTTCTGATCTGTGCTCAGTGAAATGGGGAAAACTGGTAGTAGGGAACTGGAGGACCCAAACGCTGCCTTTGAACTTGCAGCTAGTTCCTCCCAGCAGCACTCCCCAGGGAGCACGTGATCGGTGTGTATCAACCCCCCTGTGACTCAAAAGATGAAATACTTCACTAGCCCAAGTGAAACAGGTCACAAGTGTAGCTTCAGCTCTGATTCAGAAAAGCACTCGAGTGTCCTTTGCTTTGTGAGTGGTGTGGCACAAGGCAATCGGATGCATTGACAGGCACAGGACCTGTTGAAGGCTGCCCATCCTAGCTGTGTAGTCAATTCCTTACGTCATGGCAGAGGAAAGGAAGTGGTTGTTAGCACAAGTTTGGCAGCACTGTGGTTGCAACCTGTTAACAGCAATTATCCAAAATTGCTGTTTGGATTTGCTCTGTGCAGGATGAAAACATTACAATCAAACACATTTTAAACACCAGAGTCCAGCCTGAGAGACTGATGCAAAAAACCTTGTTAAAACATCTGCTCAGTGTCAATTTTATTACATCATGTTATAGCAGTATTGTTACATTTGGTGATTCAATACACTTCAGCACCTTGTAGGACAATATATTGTGGACCGGTCGCCTGTTTAGCATGCGACACCCAGTGTCTGTCCCTTGCTGAAGGCCTAGCTCACTGGCACAGTCCCAGAGCTGACTTCACACTAACGTGGCAAGAGCCTGGATGTTGTGGGAGCTTTCAGAGGTCCTGTGGACAGCATGGTGGTTTCTGACGCCTCTGTCTCTAATGCCACTTTTGGGGCTGTGCTGAGCCTTGGCTGCGTGACTCTGGAAGGCGCGGACAGTTCGGATAGCAAGGATGCAGACCACAAAGCTGGCAAAGTACAAACAGGCGGCAGCAACACCAAAAAGGCCAACGGCCGCGTCGCCGCCCTGGACCACACAGTTCATGGAGGTATAACCACGGCGCGCATACAGCCTCTCGCGCCTCTTGCAAACTTCTGTGGAGTTCACCTGGCTGACAAAATGCAGGTAGAGGCCGACCGCCGCGACATACGCCACACCGGCCAGCAGGTTGAAGGCACATTCGCCTACCAGCAGCCCCGTCCTGAGCTGCTGGATGGGTTTTGCCCCCACGACGAGGAAGACGAGGGTAAGTACTGCTGCTGTTAAGCTGAAGGCGACTCCGCCGTACACGCAAGGGGCTCTCATCTGGGTGAACTGCATGTCTAGCTCCCTCACCTCCTGGAGCTCTGTACCCTCAAAGGGGCTATAGGCCGAATTCAGGCTAAAGGATCCAGTGCCGAAGCCGCCAAGGGACGTGAAGCCTGCAACAGAGGCTTGGGCAGCACCCACACAAATCAGCACCAGGAGGTTAACCGTGATTTCCACAAACTTCAAAATGCCTGTAAGGAGCAGAAAGATGGGAATAGATGTCAAAAACATGTCTTGTGCAAACTGAGGGTGACAGAAGTACACCAAAACCATAGACAGAGACCACTATTACTGAGAGAGTCCTCTTGGCTATAGCTACAGAAGAGCACTTAAAAAAAAAAAAAAAAAAAAAAGCGCAAGCTCTTGTGGGTACATTTCAGAGGTTTGGCAAATTACTTTTTTTAATTTGTCAGTGTGCTTGATAAATGGATCTTCATGCAGGGAAAGAAATCCATAAAAATTTTACTGTGCTTGTGTTAGTGCCAAGGCAAGCGCACAGTGATTGTATTTTGGCCTTAACTACTTGGCATAAGCACACTGAGCAAGAAATATCCAGTATGAACAAAATGCTGAGGTTAAAGCTGACAAAAACCTAGAAGATTCTAATGGCTTAAAAAATCGTTCAAGTTATTTAGGTCCTTTAAAACGTGTTTACTGCTTTAACTTACACCCTTTTTTTGTCTTTCTAAGTGTTTGTTAATTTAAACTTATTATCTAACCAGCTGCTACTTCCACTTCATCTCCTTCAGAGATAAAAATCTCTTCATAAATCTGAAGAAGCAGTTCCTGATTGCACAAAAAAAGGAGGAGGGGAAGGAGGCAAAAAAGACCTTATATGCAGAGGTAAGTTAAGTGAATTTGATACTGGGTCATGCGTTCTCTTCCACACCCCCAGCTTCAGAAGAAAGTCTTATGACTTCTGAACTGACTCTTCTCTTCTTTTTTCTTATGTTATGCTACTGATAAAAGTAACCAAGGTTTTTTAAGGGGAAAAAAAAAAAAAAAACCAAGCCCCTGGATAAATGACTTCTTTTTGTGGTAGTTGCCTGTCAGGAAGGTGCAGCATCTGTTAGATAAATCTGATTATTCTGTGACTGCTCACTAGGGGTCAGACTAAGATTAGTAAACATGATGGATGTTGAAGAGCAGCACAGCTGGACTTGCCTATTCGGGAAATGAAAACCCCTAGTGTAACAGGCGTGTTGCTCCTCAAGTTCTGAAGTTAATTACAGAATTGTGAATCTTATTATTTCATTGCAGTCTGACAGCCAAGAACGTAAGACACTCGACACAGTGGTCCTATATTTGTCTTTAAAGTGGGGCAGGATCTCCAATCTGCATACAGACTTTCATTTTATGCTGCTAATGTTGATCAGTATGGCATTTTCCTCTTTAGCAATGGCTCGGTTGCTGTCAAGGCTGTATGGGCTTGAAAAGAAAGGGCTGAAGCAGCATGCAAGGGAATTAGACAAATTCCTCTCTTGTGCTGCCAGATGCTTCTAACTGAAGAAAGCCAGTGACAGCCACCATGAAGGATTATCGGATATTCTCATTCTGCCCATTCTTATTCCCTCCACAGAGGGCTGAGGTAACAAGCACCTTCCTGCTGCCGCTTCCTTGTCACGGGAAGTTGCTTGCAATGGTTTGACAAGGGCCTTTGGCCACTTGAGGAGTTCCTGCTTCCCCCATACCCAGACCGGTCCCCTCACTTCTGCTAATGCAGCTGTAGGTAGGTACTGAGCCCATTCACATCATGGCCTTGCAAACCATCCCAGAAGCACAAAGGAGAGCAGTGATAATGGTGGTACTACCTGGGAATAGAATATCTGAGGCTCGGCATGTTTCAGTTTGCGTGCGCCTGTGTGTGTGTACATATATACATACACACGTGCATACATAGATTCCATACCCTAAAAGGAATTAGGTAGAGCACGCAGAGGAGACAAAGTGCTCTTGTGGAGGAGGAACTAAGCGTGCAGTTCTATGTGTTCTTTAGAGGTGATGCTGATTTCTGCATGACAACATGCCTTTTCCTTGACCCTTCCACACAACCATTTCTGTAAGACAGGGCAATAACCATGCTGGTTACCAAATCTGTTCAGGAGGCTTCAAATATTTCAAAGTAAATACTTGTGAAGCTAAACGCAAAGAGAAATTTAAATCCTGGTCCATGAAACAGGATTTGGAACTCCTTGTACCAAATTCAAAGAATGCAGCCAAAAGCCTCAATGTTTTTAATGGGTACAGAGTCATCTCTTTACCAGGACTGTTCAAAATATTTTGAAAGAGTAATAGCTGTACAGGACATTCATTGGAACTGGATCAGATATTTTTTGTCTGCTCAGTTGAGCTGTATAATATGCCTTCCAAATACAGGGAATCAATTTAGGTCCTCAGGGCCCTTGGACGGCGTTGGACGCAGAAGGCCACTTCCCTTTTTAAGGGCCGACTACTGATTTCATAGATGCTCCATCAGGAAGCAGTTCTTAAAAGTCTACAGGGAGGAAAGACCATTTGATTAAGGGAAACATAAATTTTAAATATGTTTGGGAACTTGGAAGTTGGAAATTCATGACCAGTCAGCTTTCTTCTACTGCTGTCTTCAGAATTTCCTTTTCGTCTATCACTGGTGAGGCACTCTGACCCGCTGAGCATCAACTTTTCCTGTACATCATCTTGCTGAGCTTTAGAAAAGGCAATTTTCTGTTGTCAAAGTAGTCAGCACCTGCTGCTAACCTCCCCACATTTATAACTAACCCCACTCCTCAATGATACTGCTCCAAAGCTTCCTATGTATTCACACAAATTCTGTATGCAACCCCTTAACATCACTGAGCTGATTGCTGGTACCATAGTAGAGCTGGCAGAACGTGTCTCTTTGCTCATGGGATGACAAATATGATCAGTGTAGGTCTACTGTATTTTTAACGGCAGCAGTAGATGCTGTAATAGCATGCTTGAAAAATTTCCTTAGACAGGGCATTCAGGTTGGACAGGTTTTGTATGTACCTGTACAGTTTTCACACATGCCCGCTGCAGAAATGATTAGAGTAACTAAACAATGGAGAGAGGCTCATTAGCAGTTACTCCACCAGTTATTTGCATCACATGGATTAACTTTAAAAAAAAAATTAATGCAATAACAAAGCCTCCTGGCTTAAAGAAAATCCTAAAATGATAAGCAGTACGTAGAACGAAGGTGTGAATTACAGGTCTACAATGAGAGCCAGCAGGGTTTGTGAAAGCAGCAGACAATTAGTAGAAGACCCTAAGGCCTTGTACAATCATCAGGGCTTTGATGGAAATATTAAGCCCTACAGCATGTTCAGATCTTGACCCGGACACCCCAAAAGCCTCATGCAACTTTGATCTGTGACAGTTATAAGCTGATACCCAATCCTACTAGAGTAGTATAAACAGGATAGACAGACTTGAGAAATAAGGAATAAAAGGACAGTTAAGTTTTGAAACTTAGCTCTGTCAAGGTATGCCAACACACACATACCAGCAGTGACCTATGTCAAGCAGTGTGCTGCTGGCAGAAAGGGCTGATTTAAAAGCCACGCTTTTGAGTCTGTGCTGCCACTCCTGCTTTCACAGGCCGGTTAGCTACATTATAGCTGAGTTAACAGCTGCAGAAACTAGACTGCCAACGTTCTTCCTACAGGAAAGTTACTTACCTCTACAACTATTCCCTAATCTCATGCAACAATGAACACATTACAAGACTTGAGTACAAAATGACAGAAGGTCTGAAAATCTCAGCACTCCACTGGTTTGGTTATTTTCTCCTTTCTCAAGTTCAAAATCTTGGGATCTATCTAAAATGTTACTGATTTGTGTCAAAATTAGCACAGTGAACAGCTGGCTTTGGGAACTAACCCTCTCTGTACTGAGCAAGTAACGAGACTCAAGTCTGGGCGCCTGGATTTCCATTTCCTTTCCAACTGCTTTTCAGCACTGAAGGTGAGAACGGCTGCAATCTAGAAGACAGTAGGTGTTGCCAGAGCTTTCCAGAGAATTGTGTCATACATTCCATAAAATCTAAATCTGCAATGGATACTAACTTCAATGTATCATAGTTGTTAACTTTGAAGCCAGTCTTTTTTTGCTGCCGGTAGGCTTCCCGCTAGAACAAACGGCAGCCTTCCAATTTATACTATTAATCTACTATTCACTTTTTCTTTCCCTTCCATTCCAGGTGCATGCCGGGCTACTACCATGGTATTAACCCACTGATCAGTGGTTTTGTTGTCTGTCATATAGTGGGCTCAAACATCCAGCAAAGCAGCCAGGCAGGATGTTAAGGGTACAGATCCACAGGCAGCTGACCTCATTCTAATGGCTCTTACCCTTGGCTGGGCAGTCACCACTTTTCTCCCCTACCCAGTAATAACTCCAGTCTAGCATTAGGCCCTTCCAAGAGCTGTTTTAATAGATTAAAATAGCAGGAAACGATTCAACCCTTTTCTTGTGTGCTGCTGTTTTTTCCTGCAACTTTAGCAACTTGAAGTGACTCAGAGCATATCTGATGAGCAATTGTGCTGGCATGAGTTTAGCAGGGGAAATAACATGGCCAGGACCAGAGAAAGACCAGAAACTCTCCTTTTCAGGTGAGATGAGATGTTAAATCTGCATGCTCTGCCTCACAGAACTACACTGCGGCTGAGCGTGTGGTACCCAGTAACTCAACTGTGTGCTCAAGTCTCATGTGTGTTGGAAGCTGTGAAGAGGCTTTTTCATCCAGGCACTGTGGCAGGATGGCCCCAATGTTCAGGTGTCAGGATCACAGTGTGCGTACATAAAGTAAAATGGTCAATTCACATTTGTTCCTATGTTTCTGCAGCTGACAAGAATCAAACTGTAGAACAATCAGTTTTGGCAGTTTCTGCTGAACTCCCCTGACCCCACAAGGGCCTGACTAATAGAGGAGGCCTTCAAAGTGTCTCCCTCCACTGCGTCTTGGCACAGGAGTCACTTTTTTCCTCTGTTGACTGCACATGGACTCTTTTGGTATCATTCTTTCCTCTTGAGTTAACATCCCTGTGTACTTCTAAGATATTTTATGTTTGTCATTCTCCATTATGGCTTGCTTTCTCCCTCTGCTTCCTTTGCAGGCCATGTACCACTGGGACCAGCAGTACCCAGCTGGCACCCTGGGGTGCCCAGCTTGGCCGTCTGGGACACCTCG